TATAGGGTTTCCAAGGAGTGGCTGGTGAGCTTGAACCGCCAACCTTGGGATTCAAACCAACATTGCTGTCTGGCACATTAACCCACAGCGCCACACCAGGACTCCCAGAAAACCCTATACAGGGTTGCTAGAAGTCAGACCAATTTGACTGCACTTAACGACAATCTTTATGGAAGCGGACTGCCACATCTCTTTCCCACTGAGCACCTGGTTGGTTCAAACTACCAACTTTGTGGTTAGCAGCCATGCACTTAACCACTGTACTACTAGGTGTCTGTTAATAAACTGCTGTTGTTTTAGTGCGTCGGAGTCCATTCTGTATCACAGAGACCCTGTATAGGGTTTCCAAGGAGTGTCTGGTGAGTTAGAACTGACAACCTTTCAGTTCAAACCGACCTTGCAGTCCAGTGCCACACCCAACATCAAGAAGTGGCTACTATGAATAATTTTGAAAGCCTGTTTGAGAACATATAATCATAAAAGGAATGGCCTAATTCATGACCTGGGGACTCCTGGGCCCAGAGGCAGTGACATGGCCACAAAGAACTAGAGTGGAGAGTGAAGCGTTCAGCTGATATGAAGCAAGTGGAGATGCACAAGAACACCCATACTTGAAGATAGTACCCACTTGACCTGGCTTTGATGGCTGGATGATCAGAACTCGACTAGAAGAAGAAAGAAGAGGGAAGAAAAAAAATGAAAAAGAGTAACCCACTACAATTTGATGAACTTTACCTATACATATGGATGTAGTAGTTCAAAAAGGGAACAAGTCTTTACAGCAAGAATCACTCCCACCCCTTTGGTATACAGGGTTGACAGGGATGGGCAGTTTAGACATTGGCTACCCAAAGTGGGGGTTGGGGGAGCTATAAAGGCAAGAAGTGACTGGCTTATAAACTTTCAAGAGGAAGCCTAGTTCCTGATGGGGCATGGGTAGGTAGAACCTCCACTGAATGATTTCCAGTCTGTTGGGACCAGGCTGATGAAAGGAAATGGAGATAACACTCTTGTGGTACAATAGTGAATAATTGCCATCAGGACTGACTGTGAGGGTCAGAAATATAGATGTAGATGTTTTTTGACAAAAGGAAGGGGAGTGATTGATTTTGCAGCCCAGGAAAGGAGGTCCCTGGGACCATCAAGTGAGAAGAATGGAGAGTGTGACCCTACCCAGAAAGGCATTGATGCCAGGGGTGAAGACAGAGAAGATGACGTGGACAGATGGAGCAGCTGAAGACACTGGACTCAGGGAGGGAGGGGGGACTGTGTGCTTACGGCCACGGGGATGGGCCTGTGGGGTGTAACCTTTGGTTATTTCATGATGCATGCAGGGGATTGTAATAATTGCAGGGGATTGTAATCATTGCAATGGAACAAAATACAATAGGATGAATAAATATAAAACTGATGTTCTCCCATGTAAACCCACATAATTCACAATAAAAACTTAAATTTAATTATAAGCAAAAGGCTAGATATTTTTAGCTGCACACTTAGTTTGAAAATGCAGTGTAAACAATTATACCATTTATTTTTATGTGCAATAATAGTTGGTTTTCCTCCAACATTAAAAGGATCACTATCTTTGGTTGATAAAAATACGATTTGAGAAGTATATGTGGGAAAATATTAGGAATTAGTGAATATAGGTATAGGTATATATCTGTCTTACTACTCATTCAACTTAGAGAGTTTCAGACTTTTCAAAATAAGAGAAAATATATATCTTTAAACTCAATATAATGGGAAGTTTGCAAAATTAAAAAAAAAAAGTGAGATCTAGTGAGTAAAGTCTAATTTACATTTTCCATATTTTTCTCTGGGGCATAAATAACTTCATTGAGTGGAGAGAAAGGCAGAATTACCTTCATTGTTTATAAGTCCAGTGCCTTTTCCAGTCTTACTGCAAGATAGGCAGAAAGGTAATAAAAAAGTAATGTTCCTGGATCAGTCTTTTCTAAATCAGGAGAAATAGTAGTTTCAGCTAGAGTAACAATGGGAATGAGAGGTAAGCCAGTCTCTTTTAAGATTGTGAAAGGTTTGGTCTCTGACTATAGAAAGATGCTTATGCTAGATCTTAATTAATTTTTTTTTTAATTTGATGCTCTAAACAATTAAAGGGGTTTGAGGATTTCCCCTCCCCATGATAAAAATGTCTTATCTCTTGATTGTGGTGGTAGTTAACATGACAATACATGTAATGTGCTCATTAACTGTATACTTTTAAGATGGTAGATTTTATTGTATGTAAATGATACCTAACTAAACATTATAATAGCTAAGTGAACCACATTTCACTACTCGAATTCAGGGAGACACTCCAAAAGAAGCTACCTTATTCTTAATCTTGTTTAGAAAGAAATATAACATTAAATAATGTCTGCTAGTTTTTGAAGCCTCAGTTCAGTGTGAACCCGTGGACTGTGGAATGAAAAGATAACTGTATTTTGATGTCCTGAATGACAACTACATCATAACACTGTTTTCTCTTCCTTTAGCCCTGGAATGAGACCAGATGTAAGCTCTCCTCCATCCAGCTCCTCAACAGCTATGGGACCACCTCCTAAACTCTGTCTCGTGTGCTCTGATGAAGCTTCTGGATGTCATTATGGAGTCCTGACTTGTGGAAGCTGTAAAGTGTTCTTCAAAAGAGCAGTGGAAGGTAGTGTGTGTTTTGAAGAGTTTTATTCTCCCTACATTTGGTTCCTATTTCTCAAAGTGGACTTCGAAAGTTCTACTGTATGCCAAGCCCATTAAGGCTCTTGTTATTAAGTGCCACCAAGTTGGTTGTAACTCACAGTGACCCTGTCTAGGGTTTCTGAGGAGCAGCTGGTGGGTTTAAACTGCCGACCTTGCAGTTCAAACCAACCTTGCAGTCCAGTGCATTATCCTTCAGTACCATAGCAGGACTTAAGGCTAGAAATCTGTAAATTTGGGAGGGAAGTAACTCCTACCTACATCCTCAATGGAAAGGAGGTGTTTAAAAAAAGGAATGAGAACAGAAAATAGGCAAAAATAATAAATTAAGGGGAGGGAGTGTGATCAAAGAGCAAGAAAATACTAATATGTGAAATTCTGGTATCAATTTAGGCAGAAATATGATGCTATGAACTGTGAACATAATAATCCAGAATTATGGATTTAATGCCCATAAACTTGTTAATTTCAATCTCATAAAAATGAATGACAAGAACTGTGAAGGGGAAAAAAAGATAACCATTTCATTAAACCTTTTTCTTTCCTGCTGAGCCAGAGTATGATGTTAAGTGGTATGAATACAAATTAAGATCTGATCCCTGCTCTTTGTGGGGGCTCATAGTCTATTGAAGAGAAAGATGAGTTTTAATTACAAGGTATAGGAATTTTAATATAGAGGAGTGTGTGATTATACCCGGTCTGAGGAAGTTAGTAAAGAAGGTATTTTAGTAAGTTTGATTTTACTATATAATTATTGTTGTTAAGTGCCGTTGAGTTAGTTTCAACTCATAGTGACCCTGTTTAGGGTTTCTGAGGAGTATCTGGTGAGTTTGACATTCAGACTGACCTTGCAGTCCAGTACATTATCCTGTAGTACCACACCAGGACTCTGCTATGTGAATAGATTAGTGTAAACCTTATTATTTCTAGGGAATTACTCAGTGGACAGCCTACTTACAGGGGCAGTAGCCTCATCTCCCTAAAAAAGGAGGAATTATTTTCATTACAAATTATTATTGGAAGTAACTCTAAAATTTTAAAGATAATTATGTACTTTTAATTATTTGTGTTATTTGTAAAGCATTTGAAGGCACTATGGCCTGAGTAACCGAAAGCTCTGGTTATATTCAGTTTTAAAGACATAAAGTTTATCCTTAAGAGTTAGACAAGTTATTTTGTTTTGTGTACGTTACTTTTTAATATATTAGTGTATTAGTAAATTGGGGGTGCTAGTGTGACAATGTAGGATAAGCACTGGATTGCTAACCTCAAGATCAGTGATTCAGACTCACCTGCCACTCCTCAGAAACCCTGTACAGGGTCACTATGAGTCAGAACCTACTTGTCAGCACTTAACAACAACAAAACTTACTAGAAAACAGCTCATATTACCTCACATAGGTCACAGTGATGCACGTCCTTTGACCAGTGTAGCAACACCCTAATGGTGAAATAGGGTCATAAGTAAAACTCACCCCTGCCTAGTGAGGTGCCTCTAACAAAATAGATGGATTTTATCGTAGATACATGAGAAGAAGCCATTTTTTGCCCCTGTTTTACTTTATTCATAATTTTCTTAATGGCTTTATTCATAATTTTCTTAATGGCTTAAATGTTTCCAATTATATAAATATAGTGATATGATATTGCTGTATGTAAAAAATAAGATGGACAAATTGAAAATGTAATTCAGAATGAGTCTTAAATTCATCTCTCCATTTTGAAGCAGGTCTCCAAATGCCTACAGGGGCCAAGTAGGTGTCATTGTGTCCATATGTAAATCAGTGATACTAAAGACCACATGCATGCACTACCTAAAGACATCTAGATATCTAGATGTGCGGTTTGTCTTAGGCTGGGTAGGAAGCAAATCCAGTGAAATTTATATGTGTGTGTGTGTGTGTGTGTATATATACACAGAGAGAGAGAGAAGCCAGCAAGACTTGAGAGAGAAGCCAGCAAGACTTGAGAGAGAGAGCTTTATATCAAGGAATGGCTTACACAGATGTAGAGTAGAGATGGGTAATTCTCAAGTCTGTTGGTCAGGCTGGATGGAGGCTTCTGACTCATGTAGAACCAAGATCAGTAGGTCAGATAGAAGTCAGGTAGTTTACTGGCTACTGACAACTCCCTGGATCAACAGGAAAATAGAGCAGGCCAAAAAAACAAACAGTTGGATGGCAAACCAGATATAGAATCCAGACCCAGCAGAAAGCAAGCAAGCTTTGCCCCAAGTGTTCAATAAGGCCAAATAGCCTTAAGGAAACTTCCTTTCAGTTAGTTGATTGGCTATGATCACACAGAGATCTCTTCATGGGGGATTACTACATCTTAACTGCCAAACCACTGAGAATCCTGAGCCAGGTCAAGTTGACACAAAAGTTTAACTATCACAAAACTTAAAAGGAAAAACGCTTACCTCCAAGATACACTGCCACTGCAGGTCACATGCCCTCCATGTATAATTCCTCTTTAAAATGAAATTCTTATGCTTATTATGTAAACTGTAATATTTGCCATACTCTGGTGTGGCACTGTGGGTTAATGGGTTGGACTGCAAGGTCAGCGGTTCAAGCTCATGTGCCGCTCCTCAGAAACCTTATACAGGGTGGCTGTGAGTCAGAGTCAACTCTCATTGGCACTTAACAACAACACTCTTTCAAAATGTTTATCATTTAAGTATTTCAGTAAATGATGATGGTTTGATTACATGGTCAATTTAAAATAGTTTAAATGTATTGGATTTAATATTCTTTAAAGGTCCTTCCCCAATGTAGAATTCTGTAATCTTTTGATAGCCTAACTTATGGGAGTTCTTCTATTGTCCCTTAGATCTTTTCAGACAGCTTTCTGTTGGTAGCAAGGTGAATATGGGGTTGACTAGTCAAGACCAATAGTTTTTTTGTGTGTGAAAAACACGTTTTCAGAAAGCTGTAAAAAAATAAATAAATAAAATCACCAATTATCTATGCATGATGGAAATTTTTACTACTACAGTTTTAACACCATCTAGAAATTATACTAAGCCAATTTGGGATGTAGCATACAAGTAACCCAGATGGATTGGTTGTCATGAAGTTTTTGATCACATTGATCTACTGGTGAGTGGAAAGTGAGGGAAAGGTAACAATGAAGATATAGACTGAGTTCAATCACGTTTCATAGACTCCCATCGACCTGGAGGCAAGAGAGAGAAGAGGAAGGGCTGGTTGGTCTAAAGTATGGTGAGACCTGGTGTCTCCTGAGCCCATGGACAAGGACATAGCCACTGATGGCTAGAGCTGAGACTGGGGCATCCAGCTGATATGACGTGAGGGGAGACTCACAAGAACACCCAGTCTTGCAGATAGTACCCATTTGACCCAGCTTCGATAACCTGAAGATCACAACTCGACTAGAAGAAGATAAAAAAAATCTGATAAAGGAAACAAGTGTAAATTGCTACAATTTGATTAACTGACCTACACTTATGGATATGGTAGCTCAAAATACCAACGGAGAGGGAAGAAGTCTTTATCTTACCCCCTCTTTACACAGGGGTGATAGGGACGGGCAACTTAAACATTGACTACCTAAAATGGGGGGTGCTATAAAGTCACAAAGTGCTGGCTTACAAGTTTTCAAGAGGGAGTTTAGTTTCACAGTGTGCGGGGAAGGTAGATTCCCCACTGAATAGTTTTCATCTTTCTAGATGGGTCTGGTGAAAGGAGATATGGGTATAAGAGTCTTACGATTCACTAGTGAGTAGTTGTTATCATGACTAATTGTGATTGTCACAACTGTAAAGGTAGAAGTTTTGTAACATAAAGGGGGAAGTAGTTAATCTTACAGTCCAGGAACAGAGGATCCTAGGACCATCAAGGGAGAAGAGCATGGGCGGAATGTGGAACCCTATCCAGAGAAGCAGCAACACTAGAGATGGAGGCAGAAATGAGGACATGGAGAGATACAGTAGCTGAGGACTCTAGACTCATGGAAAGAGAAAGGCTGTGTGCTGGTGGCCAGGAGGCAGGCTTACAGAATGTGCCCTTTGATTATTTAAATGATTATATATATTCCTGAGTGTTTTGGTGTGCATCCCCCCTCCCCCCACCAAAAAAAAGAGGGAATCAAAGCAAATGATTAGATTTGAATGATGATGCACAGAGGGGGTTGTAATCATTGCAATGAAATGATGAGTGTAAAACTGATGTTCTCCTGTGTAAACTCTCAATTCACAATAAAACTTCAAAAATAAAAAGCTACCAGCTGCTCCTCGGAAACGCTACACAGGGTCTCTGTGAGTCAAAAGTAATGCACTTGACAATAACCCTTAGTTTACCTCATAGAAAATACTGTGTTACATATACAAGGGGGCTTCAAAAGATTGTGGAAAATTCTATTCTCTTTTCCACGAACTTTTAAAAGCCCCCTTGTATTTCGGAACATTTCATGAGTGACTGGCTCTGTGAACTCTTTATCTGCACTTGATAGACTAAAACACTAAAGCTCAGAGACTTCAATTGGCAGGGCTGTGATTCAAACATAGTCAAACATAGCTGTCTACAAACCACAAGCAAACTCAACCTCACTGCTACAGACTTCTTAAAAAGTATATGATAAACTGTTACTACTTGGAACTGTATAATTAATTACATAGAAGACAAAAGTAATCACAAGGTAATTAACAAACTGTTGTTAAGTGTCGTCAAGTCAGTTTAGATTCATAGCTACCCTGTATAGGGTTTCTGAGGAGTGGCTGGTAAGTTTTGGACCGCCGACCTTGCAGTTCAAACCGACCTTGAAATCCAATGTATTTTCCTACAGCGCTACACCTGGACTCCAATTAACTAACTAGCTAGCATTTATTGAGTGTTTACAGTGTGTTTCACATTGTGCTAAGTTGTGTTGCTGATACTAGGTGGCCTCAAGTGTGTTGCGACTCATCCTGACCCGACACACACAAAATTAAACAGTGTCCTATCC